CCGGCCACGCCACGCCCCACCTCGCCCAGGCCCCGCCCAGGCCCCGCCCCGGGAGCACCAGCGCAGCGCAGCGCTAGCCTAGAGGGGAATCTCAGCCTTCCCTCCCCGCCCACCCCACAGGCAAAAGATGCCGGTGCAAGTTCAACCAGCAGCAGAGGTAAGAGGCCCCTCCCTGCCCTCATTCGCCCCATCGCGCTGGGGACGAGGCCGGAAGTCCTCCATCCCGCAGCCAGAACTCTTTAGCGAACATGTATTAAGCACCTACTATGTGCCAAACGCCAAGCCAAGCCCTGGGACCAAGCGACGAAGAAACCTCCTGCCTTGCCTGGCTGAGCTCCCAGCCCGGTGGTGGCGGTGGCCGTGGGTTCCCACAGCCCCGTAGTTATCACATCGCCAAGCGTGATAACGCCAAGCGCTGGGAAAGAAAAAGCCGCGGTGAAATGAGATCACCTCGCGCGGCGGCCCAGTTCAGCTCTGTGCCTGGCTCTTGGATTCATCTTTACATAAAATGTAAAGCACAGGCAGTGGATGAAAACCTCCTCCCGGTGAAGACGGTGACCGATGTCACCGTAATACCTCCCAGTTCCTGGGTGTGTGCCACGTGCCAGCTACTTTGCGTTGTGGATTATTTTGCTTACCCCTCACCCCGCTTCTATGTGCTGTTATCAACCCCATTTTACAGATGAGGAAACTGAGGCCCAGGGAGGTCAAGTCATTTACCCAAGATCACTCAACCGGAAAATAGGGGGTGGTGGGGTTCTGGGTTCCCAGTCCAGATCATCTCCTGGCAGTCTGCCAGATCTCTCTGACCATCCCTTCCCCGCCGACTTCGAGTCCCCTGCCCAGCATTTCTGGAGGTACTCAGGTACCTGCTAGGGAGGCCTCTGACCACACCCTTCCCTGCTGCCGGGGCTCCTCGTCTACGGGGGACTCGCGCCTGCTCCTCGCGCTGTCTTGGCCTCGGCACACCGGTTCGAGAAGCGAGGCTTCTGTTTCCTGGAAGCGGCTGCTTCTCTCCTTTCCATCCCGAGTTCCCTCTGCCTCTCCCTTTCCAGGACCGGGGAACCGGATGAAGAGGAGGGGACTTTCCGCAGCTCCATCCGCCGTGAGTTTAGGGAGATGGCAGGGGCTTGAGGGGTTTGGAGCTGGTTCCTAGAATCCCTGTTCTGGCGGCCCCTGGGTGCGTAGAGGGAGGGGGTTGATCTCAAACCTGAGGGTGCGGGAGGGGGTGGGGCCGCAGTGGCCCCTCCCCCACAGGACCTGGAGATGCCCCTCCTGACCCCGAACTCTGTCCCTCTCAGGTCTGTCCACCCGCAGGCGGTAGAGACACCTGGCGCGATGGAACCCAGCCAGGTCCTGCAGCTCCGACTAGG